ATTTAATAACTTTAGATTATTCAGTTATTAAATGTTTGAAATTATTTGTCTTTGCGGAAAACACTATTTAAAGGCCCTTAAGGAAGGCTCTTATCGAGTATAATTTTGAAACATTTTTACTAAATATCAACACAAGACAAATTAATAGAAGAATTAGTGCAGGTTTAAACAGATTATGAAATAAAACTGAAAAGATACATTTATTTATTTATTTATTAAAATATACACTATACCCTAACAGTTTCACCAAAACACTAGACTAGCACAACACAAAACAAAACTGAGAATATTAATATTTTTTAGGTTAGCTTGGTTTGACGTTTGACTTTTTTACCGCTCGGCGCTCACCGTTCTTGGTTCCTTTCAACCAATCAAAACCCGTAAAGTAAACGCATGCGTATGAATACGCTGGTACGTCGCCCCACTGTTCGGCTTCAACTCAATTGCAAAATGATCAGTATAGGATAGAAGTATGTGTGTAGACCCCAATTTTTTTCAAAATATTTGGACCGAGGCATTTATAAGCAGTGAAGGTAAGATTCAACAGGCAAAATAATCCTCACCAAACTGTGGCCAGAATTCAACAAGGGCGGTTTGGTTTTCATGTATGGGTAGCTCTCTTCCACAATAGTACGTGTTAACTTCGAAATATACAATGAAAACCTTAACGCTCAGAGATATGTGAGAATTTTACAAGAAAATATTATTGAACTGCTGGACGATATGCCACTAGCTCAACGATATCACATGTTCTTTCAGCATGATGGTGCGCCTCCACATAATTCCCACAGAGAGAATTATTAAATCATAATTTCGGGGACCATTGGATCCGTACGTACCGACCAAACAGGTGGCTGCCTAGGTCACCAGACCAAACTCCTATAGACTTTTATTTTTGGGGGGATCTTAAAGACAAAATTTATAGGTAGAGAGCTAATAATATCGAGGAGCTAAGGGAATATTTTGAAAATTATATTCAGCGGGTGTCAAATATCCACATTTACAATGTGACCCGCTCCATTGCCAAACGTCAGTTATGTATCAACGAAAATGGCCGACAATTCGAGTACTTGCTGTGACTGTTATATCTTTGTTTTATTGTTGTTTCTCTCATTTTATAGTTGTTATTTTTGTTTAATTTATGTTTAATAGTTATAAGTGTACCTATAATTAAACCTATTAAGTAAAGATAAATGGATAATCTAATTTATTTTTTCTTGTAATTTTTTAGTCTACATTAGGTGCTTAATATAAAAATAATAATAGAAAACGAAGAGACCAATACCAAATAAATCTCGTGGGCAACTGAAAAAATATCTATACATTTTTTACATTTTTCTTCATTTAGGCAAATAAAAAGTATCTATTATTATATATGGCTGAGAAGGTAAAAAAAAATGCTATTCAACGGGATGGCCAAATACAGGGTGTTCTATTTAAAAAAACCTACGTTTATGTAATATCCGAAAAACTGTGAGATTTGTAAAAAATCTGAGTACGCCACCGGCTTCCTAATAAAAAATAGAACAAATAATGTCCACACTTTTTTCTTCTAAATTGAATGACAATGGAGATAGAGACCCACTAAACACGAAACGTAAATGAAACGTTGCAAATGAGATGTTTTACTAAACATTTGAAACATTAACTAGAAACGTTTCTGTTTCATTACAGAAATGTAGCACTTGAAAACTTATTTAGTGAAACATAGCCGAAACGTTACAATTGAAGAGAGTTTGAAACATTACTCGAAACATTCCCTTTCGATCTCGGAAACATAACAGACGAACAACCCTTTGCTATTTTTGCTTATCTTATGGAACA